CAAGGATTCTGAGGCTTCATCCGACATACTTTGGTCATGTTGTAAGGAGAGACCTGTCCTTGGAGAAGGACATCATGCTTGGGAGGGTGGCGGGCAGGCGCAGGAGGGGAAGGCCCTCTAGGAGGTGGGTTGATTCGGTGACGGGTAATCGGGATGAGTGTGTCGGAGACAATGAGATTGGCACAGGACAGAACAGAGTTTAGGACTGTTGTACACAGGGTCGCTATGAGTTACAAACGACTCGACGGCACTTAACAACAACATGCTTTAAGTCATCCAAACACAAAACAAAGGAAAAAAACCCTTTAATTCCATGTTTTTGCATTTTTTAAAAAATTACTATTGGCTATTAGCCGAAAGAGATGCAAATGATAGCTGACCATCTTAATATTGCTAATTCTTTCTTCTAGACAGTCAAGTTAAAAATCGCTCTTCACTCATACTTAGGGTATAATATTAGCAGGGTGTGTGTGTGTGTGTGTGTGTGTGTGTGTGTACTATCCCAAAGCTTACTCAGGTTTATGATAACATCGGTTGCATCTTATTTCCGTAGAGTTGGCAGTGCCACAGTAAAGCTGCGAGTGACTTTGCATTCATTACCTCTTCAAGTCTGGTGGCCACTTCTGGACAGTCCAATGACAATAGGTAAGTTGACAGAGAAGCCCAATAACAGTTTTAGGTAGAAAGGTATTCTTGCCAGTGAATATCATTATCTGTGTCATGGAGTTCTTCCAGTCCTCCAGAAACACAAAAACCTTATTATAAAATTCTTATTTCAGAGTTGTTTTCTTTATCCTCAGAGAGAGAGAAAAGCAGTCAGAAATTACTTGATCTTGTCAGAAGCACTTGTACTTTTAATGTCAAAGCTGTTTGTTTGTTTTTATTAATATGAATACATTTTGATTCATGAGGAATAGAAAGTATTGTCAGATGCTCTGTAGCGGGCATTCTCCACATTCTTTGTCCACTATTTTTGTGGGCACCATATGCCCAAACACCTCTCATTTCCCTACATTTGTCACCACTAGAGGGTATAAAAGGGTCTTTTTTTTACTCTAGAAATCATATCACAGTTTCCCTGGAGTGGTAATGGAAAAAAAAGCAGTAGTTTAGGGGGTGGTGAGATGGGTGGAACCATGTGAGATAGAACTATGTTACTTGAAAAATATACAAGTTTTATAAATTGAGGATCGATGCTGTGTAAATGTACAAAAGTGACACTGAATCAGTAAAAAAACCCAAAAACTTAAGAAGAAAATATACTTTTAATAATCTACCAGTTGTTGTTGTTGTTGTTGTTGTTATGTGCCGTCGAGTCGTTTCCGACTCATAGCGACCCTATGCACAACAGCCCTAAACCCTGCTCTGTCCTGCGCCAAACGCACCGCCTCTGACACACCCATCCCGATTACCCCAGTCACTGAATTAATCCATCTCATAGAGGGTCTTCCCCTCCTGCGTTGTCCCTCAACCCTCCCAAGCATGATGTCCCTCTCCAAGGACCCGTCCCTCCTGGCAACATGTCCAAAGTATGTCATGGTTTTATAGTATATTTTTGCTGTTTCTTTCTTTGTAAGGAATGTATGCCTCTGGGACACATTGATATCACCTGGTAACAGCCTCATCCACGGTAAGTGAGTGAAGGTCAGAGATTTTTAGTACACTGTGGAGGAATGCCTTCCTGGTTTTATCTTAACTAATGGCTGCAATGGATTGAGAATAGAGAACCATGTAGAATGAATAGCTAAAGCCATTCTGTTTTTGTTGTTATGTGCCGTTGAGTTTCTCATGACTTGTGACCACCGTATGTGCAACAGCTCTGACTCTGCACTATCTTCAGTAAATATCATTGTCTCTGACACACATACATCTCTTTAGAAGTTCTAAAAGTTCATTAGAGTGTCTGGCCTCCTTGCTAAGTAAATGTGTATGGTCACAGATATCCATCTAGCCTTCATATTGAGAGAGAGGTTCTGCAAAGGTATTAAAGAAGTTGCAGAGTATTCATTAAGCTCAATAGACATGAGATAATATTTAAAAATACATGTAACATAATATTAAAGATTCACCTACGGATAAGAGCTAGAAATAGGAACAATGCCATTTAAATATTATGTCTTTTGCCTAAGAATTAATGATACATTGATGTCCTGATGACCTCTATTCCATATGATGCTTCTGAAAAAAGCTTCATACTTATATTGTTTGGAAGGAGGAGTGGCATCCACTTCCGTAATAGCTTGCCTCTGGAAACCCTATGAACCTGGACAGAGGAAGAAAGGCACCAAAGTGTCGAGGACTCTCCTCCATAGGGTCGCTATGAGTCGCCTGCAAATCTACAGCACTTGACAACAACACCAACAACTTATAACTGTAATTGGTCATTTTGATACTAGTGTAATAATGAGTGTCAGTTTACATGACATATTGCATGGTCTTATGATACAAACATAGAATAATGGCAAAAGGTATTATAATTGTAAATCACATGCTTTATTGGGAGCCATGAGGTCCAAAGCCCATTTATAATTTTAGGAGTCCAAAAGGAATGCATATCTGCATTTCATTGACTATGCAAAGGCATTTGGCTGCATGGATCACAACAAATTGTGGCAAACCTTTAGAAGAATGGGAATTTCAGACCACTTGTTTGTGCTCATGTGAAACCTATACTTGGAAATCAGAAAGCATTCATCAGAACAAAGCAAGGAAACACTGCATAGTTCAAAATCAAGGAAGGAGTGCATCAGGGATGTATCTGTATGTGAAGCAGATCATTCAGGAGGCTGGACTTCATGAGGAGGAGTATGGCATCAGTATTGGAGGAAGACTCATCAACAACTTTCATTATGTACAAGACACAACCTTGTTTGCTAAAACTGAGAAGGCCCTGAAATATTTTGCTGCAGGAGGTCAAGGACTGCAGCCTTAAATATGGATTGAAGCTCACCATCAAGAAGACAAAGATTCTTACCACTAGGCCAATTGGCAGCACTATGGTAGGTGGAGAAGATATTGAGATTGTTAACAATTTTCAGCTTGCTCAGCTCCACGATCAATGCTCTTGATACTAGCAGTCAGAAAATCAAAAGATGAATTACAGTGGAGAAATCTGCTATCAGGGACCTCTCCAGAGTGCTTAGGTGCAGTGATATCCATCTAGAGACTAAGGACATGGTCTTTGTAATTGCTTGGTAAGCATCAAAGAATTAAACAATGAGTAAGGATGACAGAAGAAGAATCAATGCCTTTGGGTTGTGGTGCTGGAGAAGTGTATTGAACATACCATGGATTGTCAAGAGAATAAACAGGTCTTAAAAAACAAAAAAAGAATTAAGCAGGTTATCCTGGAGAGGGTGAAAGTTGTTTCTTGGAAGCAAGGATTTTGAGACTTCATCTCACATACTTTGGGCATTTTACCAGGAGGGACCAGTCTTGGAGAAGGGCATGATGCTTGAAAGAGTTGTGGGACAGTGCAGGAGAGGAAGGCCCAGATGAGATGGTTTGTCACAGTAACTGAGGTAATGGGAGTAGATGTGTTGAAGACAATGAGATTGACTCAAGATAGGACAGGGTTCAGAGCTATAGTGCACAGGGTTGCTATGAGTCTTGGTTAACTTGATGGCACATAACAAAAAAAATCAATCCAAAAGTTAAGGCATTAAAGGCAATCTAAATCTTAACAATCAGTCAAGCCTTAATATTCAAATAATTATGTCTGTTGCTTATTATTCATAGCTGGTATTGAAGTAAACATGCTCACCACAGGGAACTATTCATTGCAAAACCCTGCAGAGGGTGCTATAGAGAGCAGAGAGACACGGGGATAGGTAGTTGGTTCTTCTGATGCTTCTGGTGTTTTGCTTCCAAAGGGTCAAGTTTTATGCCATTATTTTGTGCAGGGAGTAACCACAGTGCAGCTCTTCCTACGCCAGGGTTTCACCAATCAGATTGCTCAAAGTAGGTAATCTTTGGGGTGCCTATCCCCTAGGTAAACACATTGCTTGCTGTCCTACAAGATACTTTTCATGGGTACAGCCATTCAAATTGATGATGTTCATCTCAATATTAGCACATTGGACCTCTAGACATAATTTTACCATTTTCTGATTAACAAGTTAATTTTATGGGCCCAAATGTGATATTTTATGATTAATATTTAGTCTCTAGGCCAGTACAGCTCAGGATAAGGACATTCCAAAAATTCTCCTCCTTGCTATTTGATACATGCTTGCTTACTTCTAATGTTTTAAACCTTTAGCTTTCTAAGCTTTATTAAATATGCCTAACAATACGCTCTTAATACAGATACACTTTCTTAACAATTTCTAACATTCTAAATATCAGCTCTATAAGCTTTTCTGTGTTTTACAGTATACTCATGACAATAACACTCATTTGCTTCCTGTTACTGTTATGTGCTATCAAGTCACCTGTGACTCACATTAACCCTATGTACAGCAGCTCTGAAGCCTTCCTGTCCTGAGCGAGTCGCACTGATTCTGCCACACCAACCCCCATTACCTCAGTTACTGTATCAGTCCATCTCCCCTGGGGTCTCCCTCTCCTGTGCTGTCGCTGTCCCTGTCCTTCCACCCCTCCAAGCGTCATGCCCTTTTCCGAGAAATGGTCCCTCCTGGCTCATTGCCATTGCCTTGTAACGGACTTAGCTGATTGCATTGAGTTGGAATGGACTCATAGCTGACTCTCCTTTGGATTTCTGCAGCTGTAATCACATGACAGGAGAATCCCTATCTTTCTGCCAAGGAATTGCTGGTGAAGTCAAACACTATTGATTTGTGTGACTATTCAGTAGTTTGGCCTCCTCTGCTTGCTTACTTCTACATACTTCTTCTAAAGCAGTACAAATTAGTGTGGATTTAAGGTTTAAACTTCCTCTGTGTGTGTGTTTTCACATTGAAATTAGGAATAAAAATATTCTTCTGGCATAGTTTAACATCTTTATTTATCCTTTAGTCATGTGGGAGCTGTTGAACAATATCATTAATATCACAAACAAGCAAGATTCAGCTAAAAAGTAACAAAAAATGACTGGAACAGCACGTCACAGAGAACTGCCAGATGTGCATGGGTTTAGAAGGGGTCGTGGTACTAGGGATATTATAGCTAATGTTAGATGGATCTTTGCTGAAAGCAGGAAGTACCAGAAGAATGTCTATCTGTGTTTCATTGACTATGCAAAGGCATTTGACTGTATGGATCACAACAAACTGTGGCTGACTCTGAGAAGAATGGGAATCCAAGAACACTTGATTGTTCTTATGCAAAACCTATACTTGGACCAGGAGACAGTCGTCAGAACAGAGCTCTGAAACACTGCATGGTTAAAAATTGGGAAAGATGTATGCTAGAGATGTGTCCTATCTGCATACCTTTCAATCTACGTGCAGAGCAGATCATCCAGGAAGCTGGTCTATATGAGGAGAATTGTGTTTCAGGATTGGAGGAAGACTTAACAACAGTCTGAGTTATGCAGATGATACAACCCTGCTTGTTGAAATTGAGGAGGGCCTGAAGCGTTGGCTGCAGAAGGTCAAGGACTGGAACCTTAAATATGGATTGAAGCTCAGCATCAAGAAAACTAAGATTCTTATCACTGGGCCTACTGGCAGCATCATGATAGATGGTCAAGAGATTGAGCTTGTTAACAGCTTCAATTTACTTGGCTTCACAATCAACACTCTTGGAACCAGCATCCAGGAAGTCAAAAGATGAATTGCATTGGGAAAGTCTGCTGTCAGGGACTTCTCCAGAGTACCAAAGAGCAACGATGTCAATCTGGAAACAAAGGTGCCAATTATGTGCTATGTGTCAGAAAGCTAGACAATGACTCCTAGGGGGTAAGGATTCTGAAGCTTTGTCTGACATACTTTGGGCTTGTTGCAAGGAGAGACTAATTCTTGGAGAGGGACATCATGCTTGGAAGAGTAGAGGGGCAGCACAAGAGAGGAAGACTCGATGTGATGGATTGATTAAGTGACTGGGGTAATGAGGGTAAGTGTGTCAGACAATAAGGTTGGCACAGGATAGAGCAGAGCGTAGGGCTATTTTACATGGGATTGATATGAGTCACAAGCAACTTGACAGCACATAATAACAACATGATCACAGAAATTCTATGACTTAATAACAGAGCATACCTTAGAAATAAAAGGTGACTCAGTTTCTGAATGATTTAGATGCAGAGTAAATATGATCAGAATGACTAAGAAAGACATTACTTTGGGAATAACTCTTGTTTTTCTCCTTCAGGCTTCACATGCCATGATCATGGTGCCACGGTACTCCAGTATGCACCAAAACAGCAGCTCTTAATCTCTGGCGGCAGGAAAGGCTATGTCTGCATTTTTGATATCCGGCAGAGACAGCTGATTCACACGTTCCAGGCACATGACTCAGCTATTAAGGCCCTTGCCCTGGATCCCTGTGAGGAGTATTTTACTACAGGTTCCGCAGAGGGTAACATAAAGGTAAGTCCGTGCAAGTGACTGGGGGTATGCTAAATATTATATATGCTTCCTAAGCTGAATTCCTAAAAAAGCATGAAACAAAAATAGTATACCAAACTTAGTATTTCTATATGACAGTGTAAATGTGAAACCTTTGTGAAGAAATTGAGCATCTTTTCACATCTGCCCCTGCTCTATGCCTTATACTGAATGGGGCTTTCTGGATTGTTAGAGCCTAGATCCGGAGAATCAGGCCCATTAGACGGCCAGAGGTAAAGAACTCTGCATGAAGTATGGGCACTTAAGTAACACAGACATTTTCTGTGGACATCCTTTTGGCTCCTCAGAAGCTTCTAAATAAATTAGATAGTACTGTAGCTTCTGTTATGTTGCCACAGTTACTAGTTTAGTATTCTGAACATATTTCATTGGATGAAAGTAAATAATTGTTATTTGAGATGGCCTATTATTTGGCTAATATGAAATTACAAGAGGAAATGAAGACAGAACTTGAAAGAAAGTATAGTGAAGTGTAAGGACAGTGAATGAAATCATGTGGAAGATAACTGCACTTTCCCAGTCATATAAATTGTTAGGACAGACACAGTGAATAGGAAAATTGTGATTTAATGCCATCACCTGGGCCAAGGGAACTATGCTTCTGGTCTCTCTTGTCTCTTTTTCAATGACCTAACAGTTGTTATTTTTATTCTCTCATTTTCTTTTAAATTAGGTTTGGAGATTGACAGGCCATGGCCTGATTCACTCATTTAAAAATGAACATGCTAAACAGTCCATATTCAGAAACATTGGGGCTGGCGTCATGCAGATTGACATCACCCAGGACAATCGGATCTTCTCCTGTGGTGCAGACGGCACACTCAAGACAAGGGTTCTACCAAATGCTTTTAACATCCCTAATAGAATTCTTGACATTCTATAGCCTTAAAAGATTGGGGCTTTATTTTTATACACATACTGATTTAAAAACACTGCTGTAATTATTAGGCATTGAGGGAGGAAAAAAGTTCTGCTTTCCGTGCAGTTAATGAGTTGAGAACAATACAAATCTGTATAGATTTGAATTCGATTCAAGCAGTGGTGTTATGCTGAGCATTGCCTATTCAGGTTGGTAGAATGATTGTGCATGTACCTTGTTATAATGCTGACATTCTGAAAAATCAAACCTAGTATTGTATGGAGGTTAGCTATTCTCTACAGCATTTAGCAAACCTGATGCAGAAAACATTTGAGATTAGAGGTTAGCACATTAGCAAATTGAGGTAATAAGAGGGACCTTTATACCAAATGAAGGATGAAAATGTTGCTGATTCAGGTTTTTCTTTCTATTCTTCCCACTGACTAAAGCATGCCTGCGGTTGGCTTCTTTGTTAAATGAAGGATAGTCAGAAGGTGTTAGAAGCTCTAGGCCACCAGAGAATCTTCTTTAGTTTTGGAGCAGTGCGCAGTGGCCAGTTCTCTGTCCCGAGAGGTCATTTCCACTCTTTCCTGCTGAATATTTTTCCTGTTAGTGTTTATACTGAGCTAGTACTGTAATTTGCAAATGAGCGCAAATTTAAATGCAATGTTTTCCTCACAATTTGCACATTCACTTTTTTCTTTTCTTTTTTTTTTTTTTTTTGGACTGCTAGTTTTTCTATTTAAATATTTGCCTTCATGTTAGGAATGTAATATGTGACCATGACATATTTGTAGCTAACCAAAACTTACCTTCTTAGTCCTGTTTAGTAGCTTTTCTTTTCAGGTATTCAAGTTTAAACACAACATTTTAAGACTATGTTCCAATGATACCAATATAGCATTTCCTATCATACTTCAAATGAATGTTAGGCTTTTTGTGGCCAGTCATAGTTGATGAGATTGGTGATATTATTTATTACCACAGCCTGTTGTATAAAACTATGCAGAGTTAAATATTATTTGCTTGTAAAATATTAGCCAATGTTGTCATATTTTGAGGTATTTCCTGGGTTTTGACCAAAAATCTGTTCTTGAGATATTGAAACCAGTGTCTGTGTGTTTAAATGTTTACCAGCAAATTGTCTCTTCATGTTCACGAGAATGTTCAATGCCTGTGTGGTAACCTGTACAGTATAATGGCATACAAGCACCTTTCTCTGAAGACGATGTGATGTTCAGGCTGTGAAATACATATGTAAAAGAAAATAAATGTTATTTGTTAGAGTTTTACCTTAGTTTGATCTTTTTAAATAGTTGGTCTGGCATTCTTTGATAATATTTTAAATTATTTATACAGTTTCTAATTTGATAAACTGTTTTATCAGTTTAAAACTTTTCCCCCCACCCTTTTGCTAGTTGACAGTTTAAAAACACTGTAGTGCTTGGCTAAGTCCGCAGACTGGTGGCTCCTGTGAATTGGTTTGAGGCTGGAAGATGGCTTCCTGCATCTTGATGAGGGTCACATATAGAACATTTACGTTTTTTGGCTTTATTTTCATCCATAAGTGGGTGTCAGCAGATTGAACTTGCTAGATGGACAGGGGAATCTCTGGTTCATAGTCCACCAGCATTTGGGTGTGCCTGAATTTAAAAATGTAGTAGGACCCGAGGGCCAAAAGTTACTTAAATTTTTGGATGAACATGCTTTTAAGTGGTACAGCGGTAGTCTATCTATTTGCTGTACTGAAGTAACTTGGAGTTACTGTGGTGCTGAACAGCTGTGCCATAGGTGTGTCAGACACCACAATGGCTGCCCATTGTGCAAAGTGTTTGGTGGAGCTCCCAGATTGATTCCGTTTTGGAAACAGGAGTGGCATCTACTTCCTAAATCACATGCCTCTGGAAACTCTATGAACTTGGAGAAACAACAGTAGTTGTAGAAAGGCTTCAGGCCTTTTGTTCATAGGGTCGCTATGGGTCATGCTTGATGTGATGGCAATCAACAACAGTAGAGGTTGAAAGTTTACCCATCCTTAAATATTTCTTGCATTTCTTCTGTACGAGAAGCTATTTTAGGAAATAGAGACACAGTGGTAGAGAAGCTAGAGAAACCCTCGGTGCTGTAATTCAGGTAGGTAAGAACTAACTTCGCTGTGTGTTCTCCTGACAGATTTAAAGTCTGTTGAATGAAGCTCTGTTTTTGGTGCTGGGACTGGTGCAGGAGCTAAGCCAGGGACAGGGCTTCTGTGGAGTGGCCAGAGAAGGGGAGCGGGAGGACGATGTCCAAATTAATATGTATACAAATTTGACAAAAATTACAAACATGAACATGCCCTTATTACAGTTTAGTATAGCATACCTTCCATATGTTGCATTCTATCTTTGCATGCATTATTCTAAAAGAACATCAACTGAGTCAGTAAGAATCTGAAAGATAATAAAATTTTCAGACTGGAATTCAGAGTCATCTTGGTAGCTGCTGCTGCTTTTTATCTCTTTCTGCAAAGTAATCTCTCATGTATTCTGTGTGTGTGTTTAATAGACTATTTTTATAACAGTTTCAGATATACAATAATGGTGTCAATTCTACAGAGCATTACCATTCTGCATTCTACAGAGCAGTACCCTCCCTAGTCTCTCCTGTTAACATCTTGCTCTGGTGCCATAGTGAGTGACATCCCAGGCTACTCACATGAATCCACCAGCTGCTCCAAGAGAAAGAGGCAGGCAGTCTCCTATAAAGATTTACAGCTGCAGAAACTCAATTGGAGGGTCACTGTGAGTCATAATAGACCCCACAACAGTGGGCTATGTATTAATTAGGTGCATTTATTGTAATTGTTGAAATATTTACAGACTATTACTAATATTGAAATAAAAATAAATTATACTATTTTTCCCCCAAGCTAAAGACAAGGGTTTTACTGTGAATCAGTGTTCCTGTTACCCTTTTGAAAGAAGTTATGTTTTAATGTGATGTGAAGGCAACATTGAGTTTTTCTTTAAATTAACCACCTAATTTATCCCTAAAATGACAAAGAATCCTAATCTCTTACGGGCGAGTGCATCTAAAATGTTCTTTCAGCACAAAGCAGCACTAGACAAGTATCAGCTATAGATGGGAGTTGACTGGTTTTGCTGTGATTACTCCATCAATAACAGGCAGGCATCAGAGGGCATCCACCCCAGAGCACAGACACAACTACAGACTAGATGTGAAGAATGCATAAGAAATATTATAAAATAAAGCCACTACTTTACACTAAGATTCACTTGTACACTTATACAATTTTATACATCTAGAGAAATACATAAGGTCAAGTACCATTACAGCATACAGAATGATTTTATGAGCCTGTGATCCCCCTGTTCGTTACCCCTCTCTCTGTCATTCCTGGCAACTGTGCTCTTCTTACTGTCTCTGCAGTTTTGCATTTTCTAGAATGCCACAGAGTTAGAATCATCTAATATGTAGTTTGTCCATTTATCATGATGTTGTTTATTGGTCCAGTTATGAGAATTTTTGTTTTCTTTGTGTTGCTGTGTCATCAATTCTGAAAGCTATAGAGCTTGAGCTTCATCAATAATTGTTTCTCCAAGTAAGGCTGTGTCATCTGCATATCACAGATTACTAATGAGTATTTCTCCATTGATCCACATTTTTCTTTGCATAGTTCAGCTTCTCGGATTATTGTTCTGTATATGGACTGAATAGGCATCGAGAAAGGGTACAACTCTTGATACATACCTTTCTGGATTTGAAACCATGCAGTATCCACTTGTTCTGTTCCAACTGCCACTTGGTCCATGTCCAGGTTCCACAGGGACACCATTAAATGCTCTGAAACTCTCATTCTTTGCCGTGTTTCCCATAGTTTATTATGGTCACAGTGGAGATCTGGGCATAGTCAATAAAACACAAGTAAATATCTTTCTGATATTCTCTACTTTCAACAAAGATTCATCTGAAATCAGCAATGATACCTTCCATGTTACATACCTTCTGAATCCAGCTTGAATTTCTGGCAATTCCCTATCAATGCAATGATGCAAATGTTTAAAAAATTATTTTCAGCAAGATTTTACTTGCATGTGATAATTGTAATATTGTTTGATAATTTTTTCATTCTATTGTTGTTGTTATGTGCCGTCGAGTCGTTTGCGACTCGTAGTGACCCTACGTACAACAGCCCTAAACCCTGCTCTATCCTCTGCCAATCACAGTGCCTTCATTCTGTTAGATCATCTATTTTTTGAAGTGGTAACAAGTATTCATCTCTTTCAGTTCCTGTTTTCCCAACTCCTTGACCTAAGTGAATGAGCATCTCATGCTTGGAAAGTAATAGCATGGCAAAGTAGAGGAAGATTCTCAAGATGGATTAACACAGTGACTGCAACAGGGGCTTCACTCAGCAGAGCTTGGGAGGTCGGCACAGGTCAGGTAGGGGTTTGTTCAGCTGTGTGTAGGGCGTGGGAGTCAACTTGACGTCACCTAACAACAGTATGTCTTATATTTCAAACTGGCTTCTTTCACTTAGAAATAAGTACTTTAAGATCCTCTCTAAATTTTTTGTGGCCTGACAACTCATGTGTTATTTATTTATCACTGACTAATACTCTATTAGAGCACCCTGATTGTGTTATTCTTAGGGAATTACTAACATAAAGGTTCAAATCCACCTGTGGCTCTGAGGGAAACACGTGGGCATTGATTTACAGCCTCTGGAGCCCAGTGAGGGATCTGTTCAGACTCAAAGGCAATGCATTTGAGAATAATATCTGGATATACCTCAGTTTGTTTAGTCACTTTTTGAAGTACCTCTTGGTTGCACGCTTTGGAAATTTTGAATAAAGCTGATATTAAAATTCACACTCAGGTTTGTTTGTTTGTTTGTTTTTTGAAGCAGGTTTATTGATCCCAAAAATTTTATGTCCCAAAATTCTCTCCTGTTAAATGTGTACTCTCAAATTCTTTTTAAAATGTTTACAGAGTTGTTCATGTGTAAGTTTTTGTGTAGGCATAACTTTTCAACTCAATTGATTAATATCTTAGAGCATGATTGCCGGTCTGGTGGTCTGGTAACAAGGAGCTGTGCTGCGGTCCTGAAGGCACGTGATCTGAGGCCACCAGTGCTCTATGGGAGAAGGATGGGCAATCTCCTCCCGTGCAATTAACTGCCCCTGAAAACCCGGCAGAGGGTCAGCTGTGGGTCAGTGTCGACTCTTTGGTATACAACAGCAACAGCAGCAGCAGCATAAGATTAGGTTTGTGAGAAATTGCCAGCCTGCCTTCTAAAGTGACTGCACTTTTTTCATTCACACCAGAAATGACTGAGAATTCCTGTTGCTCCCCATTCCTGCCAGCGCATGGTATTGTCAGATTGCTTTGGTTCTGGTTGTGAGGTGGTTTTATTTATTTTAGCCATTCCCTAGGTATTTAGTGGTATTTCATTGCTGCTTTAATTTTCCGTTCCCTTTATAGTTTTGATCCAAGGAAGATGAAATAATTGACAGCTTTATTCTTTTTTTTAATTATTATTAAATTTTATTAGTTTCAATGAACATTCACAGGGATTCTGGGCTTTCACTCCTTCATTGCCGCACCATTCTCTCCACCCTCCTCCCCAGTTTGTTCTTCTTCCCCACCATCCGAATGTCTGTTTTAATTGTCCAATTGCCACAGTGCTTGTC